CCAAGCTCGGCACTGGGACCACTGGGCTCTGCAGCCGCGACCCCATCCCCAGGACACCGGGGGACCCCCCAGCTCTTGCCCAGCCCCCCGACCCCTCACCTCAGCCTGTTCCCAGAAGGAATCGCGCTGGGTGCGCTGCAGCTCCAACGCCGGGTTGGTCTTGCGGTAGTTGGTTCCCTGGAGAACACAATGGGGTGGGGGTGGGACCCCCCAACACCCCCTGCCCAGAGACCCCCGGAAGGGCGAGCAAGCACCCACCGCCCCTCAAGGTGGCCTCCCCATTCGCACAGGGGGCATGGGCTCAGCGAGACCCCCACTCACCACCAGCTCCGGGGTGTCCTGGGGGGTCCTCCTGGGAGGGCGAGGGGCGGGGGGCTCCAGCTGGGCCAGCACTCGGCGCAGCCCCTCCGCCCGCACCTCCTCGGGCCGGCGGGCGCTGATCACGGCCGTGGCCTCCTGCCACCGGCACGGGACAGGACGGGACCGTGTCACCCCTCCCACGGCCCAACACGGACCCACACTCCCCGGGGAATCTCGGCACAAGTTCCCACGGACGCGTCAGATGTTGGGACTGGATCCAGATGTGGGGCCCGCATCCAGATGTGGGGCCGCATCCAGATCCCGGACCCAGACAGATCACCGGAAGGTGTTTGGGGGAATAAGGGGGGGCAGGACCCCCCCCAAACACACACTCAGGACGGGATTTTGGGGGGGGCAGGGATCCCAACCACAGCTCCGGCACGGCGGCCAAGACTGGGAGCACTGGGAAAGCGGCGGCTGAGTCAGCAGCGCCAGGAATGCGCCCGGGCACAGGCAAAGGTCGGGGCGGCGGGATGGGAACGAGGGGGGGCAGGAATGGGGAATGTGGTGGGGTGGGGACCCCGATCCACCCCCCCAGCACCCCCCGAGGGCTCCGTGCCCCACGCTCACCCTGAAGAAGCTCCGGATGGCCGGCAGGTGCCCGGCACACGCCGCCCGCTGCGATTCCGGCACATTTTCCCCCACCTGGTACCGCAGCCATTGCTCAGCCCGGGGGGGGGTCCCGTCCGGGGGTCCCCCCGAGCTGTCCCCCAGCACTCACCCAGCTGATAAGGACGATCCTGGGGGTGCCGGAGCCAGGATCGGGGACCCGGCACAGCCCGTACATGACGCTGCCCACTGAGAATTTTCCAGCGAGCTCATCCGGCCCCCCGGCTGTAAGGAGAGGGGGGTCAGAGGGGGTGCGGGGAAACTCGGGGGACCCCCCCCCCCCAATACTCCCCGGCAGCATCGCTCGCGGTACCTCCGGAATCCAGGAGCTTGAGGTCGTGGTGCTTCTCATAGCCAAAGACGGCCCTGGGTGGGTGGGGAGAAAGGGGGTCAGGGTGGGGGTCGAGGTGGGGGGGTCACAGCGGGTGGCACATAATGTGGGGGAGCTGCCAGGCTTGGGCACCCCCCGGGCTCCCCCGTGCCACCAGCTCGGGATGAATTCATGGAAGTGCCGCCGGCAGCATCCGCCCCCGGGACAATGGGAATGTGGGAAGCGCCGGAGCGGCACGGCCCCCGCCGCGACCCCCCCCCGCCCCCGCCCCGGTGCGGCGGTGCCGGGACCCCCGGCCCGGCCCGGGAAGGGCTCAGGGGGCTCCATCCCGGCGGGAGCCTCGCCCCCCAGCCCGGGCATTCCCAGCGGCTCTGCCCCTCTTTGTTCCCGCGTGGCTCCGGTTCGGGGCACGGCTCCGGCAGCACGCGTGGAGCGCGGCGCGGCAGGGCACGTCACGCGTGTCACGGCATGTCGCGACAGGCTGCGGCGCCACATGGCGGGACAGAGCCCAGCACGCGGCCGGCCGGGCGCCCGGGAGGAGCCGGCGCTGGAGCGGGGCCAGCCGCGCTCCGGGGGCAGAGGGCGATGCCCCGGCGGCCGGTGGCCACGGCGACGGGCGGTCCCGTGACGCCGGGGCGCTGCGAGGCCGATGAGCCCCGCTGCCGTCGCCTCTCAGCCGGGGATGGGAGTTTTGGGGGACACCGGCTCCGGCCCCGCGGCACCGGCACCGAACCGGGGCCAGCCCAGAACCGCCAGCCCGGAACCGTCCCGGGACCCGCGCCCCGCGGTGCGGCGGGGCAGAACCTCCCTTTCCGCACCCCGGGGTGCTCCCCGCTCCCGCAGCACCCCCCCGGGCCCGTCCTGCCCCTGCCCCGGGCGGCGCCGCCGCCGCTCCCAGCCCGGCGGCACCGGGAGGGACCGGGAGGGACGGGGCGAGACCGGCTGGGACTCCCGGTTCCCAGCGCGGCGGCGCGGAGGGCTCGGTCCTGGGACCTCCCCGCACACCGGCACCCCCCGGCCGAGACCCCGGTGCGGCCCGGAACCCCTTCCCGGTGCCGGTAACGGCGCCTCTCGGGCCAACCCCGACGCCGTGGCCCGTGCCGGTGTCTGTTCCTGCTCCCGTTCCCGGTCCTGAGTCCGGTGCCTGTCCCAGTGCCCGTTCCCAGTCTCGGTCCCCTCTTCCGTTCCCGTCTCCGTTGCCGGTTCTCTGTGCCGGCTGCTCACTCCCGGTGCCCTGTTCCCGGTCCTCCCTTCCGTCCCCGTTCCCGGGCTCCGTTCCCGGCTCCCGTTCCCTCTCCCCGTCCCCCGCCCTCCCTTTCTCACCAGTCGGTCCCAGCCC